TTGGATGCGTCCATCTCAATTTACTGAGCAGTTTTACTGGAACACAGTTATTTTTGTGTGATGTCATTCCCAGCTACGACACAAGGTGTGTTCGACTTCGGCTGGATGAAGCGATCGGTGAGAGTTGGCGAGTGCAGTCGGGAGGAGATGAGATCTGAGACATGAAGTCGGACACTTTCCGCTTCCCGTAGTGACGCTCATGTGTTTGCATACTTACTCACAAATGTACTGGATTAGATGCAATATTTGTCAAATACACAGACGTTTTAATGAATCAACAAACACTTTTCATTCAAATGTTAATGTACCGCTTAATACAGCGCCTATATGAACAAGAATAAAGTTCAGTTACAGTTTGTGAACCCTATTTTGTTTTCGGACAGTTTCATGTAACTTTCAAAAAAGTCCATTACAAACGTCACTCGTCAACAGCAGCTGTCACGGTTGCTAGGCAACAAGATCAGTCCTCAGTAAACTAGACCGTCCCATTTATCAACACTCAGTCCGAGTCCCTCGAAAGATTCAGCCATTGAATTAAATTAAAATAATTCTCATTGTACTTTGATGGCGTACATCACAGTAACATGGAATCAGTGCCGTCTCAAACTGTCATGCACTTCTTCAAGTCAGACGCTGATCAGTCAGACTTGAAAAAAACTATTTAATCTAAACCAAAAGAAACAAGAAAATGAAACTGGCTAAATGCGTTCTTGTCTCAGTACATCTTCACTTCAATTGTCCTGTAACTGGACAGTGGACAGTTGTGTCCAGGAAGACATGTATGGACATTAATGAAATACACTTTCTGTGATTCTAAGACTTAAAATAAAACCGCTTTAGATGATTAACAGGAAACAATAGCAATATAGCATTTTTTTATTAATATACATGGGATATGATTCTATAGTTCAAGTTTAAGCACATACATAATAATTAAAAAAGCTGATAAATGAACTGAGTATCATGAGTGAACTTAAACGAAAAACAACAATCAAGTACTAAAGTAGCCTTTCTCACAATATATTTATGACTGAAATCATGCATGTACAAATCTAAAGCTCAGGATATTCAGAGAGATGAGAACATTGACAGCTCTGCATTCTCAGGTTACATTTCATGGTTTCTCATCATGGCTTTGGTCGAACTGCTACTAAAAAAGTCTTTATTAACTATGCGTGTGAAAAGCTGCTGTGTCTCTGCATCTGGAGTGGAAACTTTACAGTATATTCTGAAGTGTCGCTCAGGGGTTTTATTTCCGGTCTTCATCACGACCTCAGATAAACTGAGCTGACAAACTATTTTAAACAAGTGAAAGAGGCAACATGATCAGCGCTGGAAACTTTAAAGTGTCTCATGATTCAAGACAGCAGGACGTCTCTACATTAATGATAACAATGATGATCTGTGAGTTAGTTGAGTCTTGTGCGGTAGATGGCCGTGGTGTAATCAGAGTGATTCTCGTTCTTACTGACAGAGACTGAAGCTTCACTGAGAGACTCTTCAAGCTTCTGGAAACTGACAGACGTGTACAGGAGTCCATCAGAGAGGATTGTGGGTAGCTGTGCAGTAGACCGATCGGAAGAGTGTGTGTGAGCGTCACCCCGTCTCATGTGTCTTAATTTACACACAGTCAGAGTGAATCCACCAATCAGCAGCAGACTCACACACACACAAATACTGATGATCATGGAGACATCTGATGAAAATAAAACACAAACACATAAAGATAAATCAAGAGCTAAACATGAATTAAATAATATCTACACAAATATTCAAAATGGCGACACTCAGGTCCAATTTACATTGTTAACATGAATCTACATCTGTAAACATAAAGCTGCTCTGTTTCTGGTTTTGTGGCCATTTGATTATTTACTTTGTTTTTATCTGTTTTATATTGAGAATTGACCATGAAATCCAACTCAGCGTGCTTTTATATCCATCACAGATATCTGTTTTAACACTTTCAGGTTAAAAATAAAGAGTATAGAGCAATTGTGAGCCGAAACAAATAAAAATATAAGCATTAGTATACAATTCATATTGTAATGACCTGGCAGTCAGCGCTAGCAGCTGGGTGCATTATGGATAATTGTTTATTGGGAGTTGATTTATGTGTTATTACAGTAAGATCTTTAAGTTTTTGTGATAGTAAAGTTATGTGTGTTAATGTTCAAGTTAGATCAGATGTTATTGGTCCATTTACTGCCTAATGTAAAAATGTGTCTCTCACCGTCATGGAGAGAGATGTGTAAGGCAATTGGGCCTTGCCTGAGTAGTTCTTTCTGTGTTCCTAATTAAAAGAAGGAAAAGACAGTGTTACTGCCTCCTGTTGGTTTAATTAACCAATGCTCCACCTGTAGAAACACTCTCGGTCGTGCGGTGTATGGGACATGAGTGTTCTAATCTCCTGTTAATTAGCTTAGAAAAAGTAAATAGCATAATTTAGCTCCAGTTAGACTAATTGGGTCGCTTGAAATGACCAAATTCCATGATGTTGAAGTTACATGAACATATTATGTTTGTTTAACGAAACATAGTTATGTGGAACCGGTGGAACCTGTTTACATGAAAAAGTTAAGTAAAGCCAACATATCATTTTTTTAGTGTAGCAGGAGTCTCCAGCGTGTGGCGTTTCGAACGCTTCAAAACAGTGAATCCTTTTGCGAAGCAATTGGTTCAATTGATTCAAAGCTTTGAAAAAATAAATACCCTTCAGGCAGTCTCGGGTTTGGTACCCCGGGTCCGCATGACAGCACACACATTTCCAATTTTTCATGCGACCCGTGCCCCGTTTCAAACTAAACTGCACTGTGAAAGAACCCAAAAAATGTGTAATAATCCTGGAGATCTTGATTAGCTGGTTCAGATGTGTTTAATTAAGGGTGTATTCACACCTGCCTTGTTTGGTTCGATTGAATCGAACTCTAGTTCGTTTCCTCCCTTGGTGCGGACCTTTTGGGAAGGTGTGAATACAGCAATCGAACTCGGGTGCGGACCAAACAACCGAACCGAGACCCAGCTGAAGAGGTGGTCTCGGTACGGTTCCAAACGAACTCTGGTACGGTTCGTTTACGGTGTGAACATGAACCGACCCAATTGCAAGAAAACACTGCGCCTTTGAGTTAACAGACTACCGTATTCGGAGTTGCGTTATGGGAAAGTGATCTGTTGTAGCCTACTACATTACATCTTTTGCGCGTCTTTCTGCACAGCAAAATCACCAGTGTTAAATTAACACTGCTCAGTGTTTATATGACTCCACACTCAGAGAGTGTTCAATGAACACTGAAGCAGTGCTAAAGTTAATGAGATAATTAAGTAATTAATTTAGTGATAATTGAGCATTATCGACGACACCTAATGTTAACAAGCAGAATCACTGAAGGAGAAAATCGTAATTGGTATGTTACCATTATGGAGATCAGTGTTTGCTTTAGTTGGGCTCTTGACCCTTACATCATTAACTTTAGTTCTTTGTTTGGCTGCTATACCTGAGTTATACCTGCCTGATGAACAAAGAGAAAAGGTGATATGATGGTGTTGGTTGTGTTTTATCAATAGTTGGCCTGAATCACTGAACTCATTGAGAGCATAATTTCAGAGTTAAGTTTACCTTATGGATTATAGCAGCACTGTCATTGTAGAGTATGCATTTTTTTTAGCATTTTCAATTAAATCCAAATGATCAAGTCGTTACAAAAAAAAAAACACCTTAAAAAGTATTTCAGGTAGGCACATGCAGACATCAAGAATTAGCGTATGAATCTCAACAATGGTGACAAACAGATGACCTCTGAACATAAGCTCATTATTTATTCATGCAGCAATGCATGATGGGAGCCATGAATGAGATTTGATTGGTGGCATCCAGAATACATTGCAAAATGCTTTATAATTGTCACCATTGTTGAGAGTCACAGGCTGGTTCTTGATGTCTGTTTAAAAAAAAAAAGTTTTGTATGTGATTAAGTTTTAAGAAATTATTTGGATTACATTGTAAAAGTTGCAAATATTATGATTTTCAAGGACAGTGCTGCTATAATCAATTAAGAAAATGTAACTCAGAAATTGGGCTCTATTCAGGTCAAATGATTATGAGATAATGATAATGTTAAAACACAACTGACACCATCAAATCACCTTTTCTCTATGTTCATCTGGCTGTTATAATTCAGGTACAGCAGCCAAACAAAGAACTAAAGTTAAAGACTTAAGGGTCAAGAGCCCAACTAAAGCAAACACTGATCTCCATAATGGCGATTATACCAATGGCGATTATACCGTAATTGGTAATACCAATTACGATTTTCTCCTTCAGTGATTCTGCTTGTTAACATCAGGTGTCTTCGATAATGCTCAATTATCACTCAATGAATCACTTAATTATCTCATTAACTTTAGCACTGCTTCAGTGTTCATTTAACACTCTCTGAGTGTGGACTCATATAAACACTGAGCAGTGTTAATTTAACACTGGTGATTTTGCTGTGTGCGCGTCGTGTGTGCATCATTGGAATGGAATGAATGAGTGTGTGCATCAGGACATTCACATACAGAGCGTTCTCTTTAGTCTAATCGCGCATAGATGCAAAAAAAGCATTTGCAGTTCATATAATGTAACGATAGTTACAATACAAGGATGATGCTGCATTAATTTACGTTAAGCCTTTTTTGCACTTCCTGATTTCCCTACTTGAGAATCCTTGTCCAATGAATGGACGACCTTAGCACACGTGTGGTTTCGTTTACAAATTTTGGTTCACTTGCAAAAAGAGCAGTGTGAAAGCGAACCGTACCAAAATAAAAATATATATATATTTGGTCCGGACCAAAGCAAGTGAACTATCGGACTTTCCTGGTGTGAATACACCCTAAGATTGAAGCTAAACTCTGAAGGACACTGGCCCTCTAGGAGTCAATCACAAATAACAATCAAGATCTGCCACAAACAGACTGTAGATACTTTTCCACCAGATATCACTGTTTGTCTCACTTACCAATAACATGCAGATGAACAGTATTAATAATGGAGTAACTGTACGAGTGACTGTAGATCCAAACTCCACATAAATAAACTCCTCCATCATCTGGAGTCACTGCAGTAATTCTCACACTGAATATATTTTTCTGTTTGTCATCAGAAACACTGAATCTTTCGGTCTTCTTCAAGGTGCTGTAAATCGTCTCAATAGAGTCTTCTCCTTCTTTGAATATGATCTTGGGATAGTTTATATAATTCTGTGAATATTCACAGCTGAAGGATGCAGTTTCTCCAATATTCACCATCACTCTCTTTGATATTTTACAACATGAATCTGTAATACACATAATAAATATATTTTATGAATATAACTTTGAATACACTTTGAAATGGTTTTTCTACACAAAGACTTCTAAAAATGACTGACCTTCTTCCACATTCAAAGTCATATATATACGCCACTTGTGAAGGACTTCAATTGCGTATCTTCCAGCATCATGTTGGTTCAGTTCTCTGATGTAGATCATGAGTTTCCCCTCATTGTTTTTAAACAGTGTGAATCGCCCTTCATTAATCCATTTATCATGTTTTGTATCATTTATTATTGTTCTCCACTCAGGTAATTTGGCCGTATATTTAGCAGAGTTACTGAACCAAAGTTTCCCAGAATCCACAAGAACGCTTCCTCCAGAATATCCAGTGACAGTAACACATCTCACTGCACCTGTCAATCAGATTGATACTGTTATCAGAAACCTCATGAACAGAAAACAGCATCATTACTGCAGTGATGAAAGAGAAAAGCTCTGACCTGAGATCAGGGAGAAAGTGAAGAAGATGAGGAGGATCTTCATTGTGAGTTGAGTTCAGTCTTCTTTATGCTGAATGTCCTCTGTGTGAATCTCTCTGTCTCTACATCTGTCTGCTTTAGTTCCTTCCTCTTTCTTCAGCTCTTTATCAGTAATGATCAGCTTTACTGGCTCCTCCCACCATCAGCACTGACTGAATATTACATTAATCACACTGAAAGAGCGCCACCTAGTGGAGGATACAGTGTCTGACACTGAGAGCTCATAGGCTTCATCTTCTCTATAGAAGGACAAATGACACTGTTCTGCATTATATAAATATTCCTATAGAAGACGAAAGTAAAATGTACATGTAAATTCACTCCCTAGACTAGAGCCTGTATAAAACACTCTTAGAAATGAAAAAAACTTAATGAAAGATACTTTCGATTCTACACATTTTCATAATTTGTAAGAGACAATAAAAGCTTTAAGGAGCAAACAGAACCAGATTTGACTGAATTTGTTTGGATATTTTATGCAAAAAATAATATCAAAGATTGATGTGGATTCAGCACCAAAATGCTAGGACTTCTGTTCATCTTCTTCCTTCACTTTGACTGTGGTCATGCAAAAATCTGCATAAACAATGAGTCTGGTAATTATCAAATATTAGCTCAAACTTTCCCTCCCCCAGATTCCCTCTTTCTTTTCAAACATACAAGAGGCAAGAAAACTGTTTCATTTATAAATAATTGAAATAGAAATGAAGATATAATACATCTCTTTTTATAAACTAACACAATTCAACTACTATCAATAATAATAGTTTACTTAAATTTAACATGAACTCATTTTGGCCTCTAGATGGAGCTAGGGGTTTTAATAACACTTCTGATTGTGATTAGGTGCTACAAAACGAAAACCATGAACAGGAAATCACAAAAACTAAATGAGACCACACAGCTTACTAGAAGAAACGTAAAAGCATACAAATAAAACACTGTAAATTCAAGTTTACAATCTAGACCAAGTTGGTGTCTCACAGGATCTTTTCACAAACTATACAGTCCAAAGTATTTTCTTACATTAATATATAAATTATTTTCACAAAATAATCGTGTGCATCCTGCTTATTTATTCTGAAAGGAGTGTGTTTAATAAAGCAGCATTTGGGATACATTAATTATTCCCCATTTTTCCATTCAAACCTGGCAACCACTCCAATGCATCGTGGGGCGAGTTTTGAACGAACATGCAGTATTCACTCTTCTGAAAATGTACAAATCTAGTTTAATATACTGTTTGAAGCAGTGGCGTAGCGTCTGGGCATGCAGGGTATGCACGTGCAAATGGGCCCGGGCCGATAGGGGGCCCGCCCATGGGGAACTTTTAATTAAAACGAGTTAATTCATTTTTAAAGTGTAGCCACAATAAATATATTTTTTGTATGCATGTCATGTGTAATAATTTCTTGTTTCTCCATAATGTCTAATTTCTCCGTCATTTCTTGTGTGCATTTATTATGCGTTTATTATTTTTTTGCACCCTGCGGCTGCCGTAGAACTGTACCGTCATTTTTTACGGCATCGCCGCGTCAAATTAAAAAAAGAAAACACAGTGTGAGAGAGGTTACTAGACGCTAGCTAATTGAACATTAAAGGATGGAAAAATACAAACATAAAAGTGGGGCCTTAAAGAGAAAAAAGAAGGTGGAGAAGTTAGTTGCGACACAAAAACTACCTAAAATAGACCGGTTTAGTTCTCTTTCTTACCATCCCTACTGTTGCTTCAGCGGAGCCCTCATTTTCAAACCTGAAGCTAATAAACAGACTATCGGGACTGGCAATTATTTCCATTGAGAATGCACAAAGCCATGAATTAAACACCAATGACATCGTGCTCGTGGATGAATTTGCCGAAAGAAAGGCCCGGAGAATGCAACTAAATGAGTAAGTAGTTTTATGTTTTTTTTTTACATTTTGGGCCGCGGTGCCAAGATCAGTAGTTTATTATTGACATTGGCTGAGCCTTGGTTGGTTTTAGACTTGTTTTTGTTTCGTTCTGGTTGTGAAAAGTTGTTGGGTAGAGTGTTTTTATGGTATTGTTTGGTATGGTATTTTCTTGATACACTACAGTGAACGTCTATAAATGCAACATGACATCATGACTTTGCGTAAACATACACGCCACTTTCAAGTCAAGTGGCGTGTTATCTATACACATTTTGAGCTATCCGCGTGTATGTCCACGCTAGAGGTCTGCTACCCGACCCGAGCCCGACGGGTCCCGAAAAATGTGCGGGTTTCGGGTCGGGTTCGGGTTAATGTTAATGAACAGCCTCGGGTTCGGGTCGGGTTCGGGTTTAACTAAGAAAAACGAAATAGGCTATATATAGTTTGCGTGCCGTGTGCTTTGCCTGCTTGCTGTGTTGTGGTGACCGGCACGCGCGAGAGAGAAAGTATAGGCTACGTCCGCAGATGTGCAATATGTGCATACAGGCTCTCTCTCTCAAATATAATGATATATGAATATAATATTTTTAATTATTTGTTTTATTTTATCATATCATTTATATCACAAAACTGTTTTGCGCATGTGCTACCGCTCTCGCGCGCTATTTCAGTCACAATACAAACAGCCGACGACAACAAGCAAACCATGAGTCTGATAAAGCAAAAAATTACTTGGTAAGTTTTTTCTCTTACTGCTGTGCTGCCTGCTGATAGGGCCGCTGCGCCTACATGTATTTGTTTAATATGTCAAGCAATCATTAAATACAACATAGCATATTGCAAAAATGGTATTGCTGTGAGAAACAGAATGGACCTCGGGTTCGGGTCGGGTTCGGGCTTAATATGTAAATGTAATTGTCGGGTCGGGTCGGGTCGGGTTAAATGATCGCGGGTACGGGCCGGGTTCGGGCTTCAGTTTAAAGCCCGTGCAGACCTCTAGTCCACGCCGAAACGAACCGTCATCTTTTAACGCCGTTAAACGTCCGAGTGATTCCGCGTGTATATGTACGCCGTTAAATGTCCGAGCGAAACGAAGCAAAATTCATATCTACATCTGTGGAGCAATATTTTTGTTCCTAGGATGGTAGGGGAAGACTCATAAACAGTATTAACCCCAGTGACGGGCAGGTTTAGGGACGGGGTTGGGGTAACTGTTAGGTCACATATTTATATACAGTAATGTAACGTTAAGTCAACGGCGTTGATAAACATGCTGAAAAGCGATTATGTGTGTTGATAGCACGCCAAAAATGGAAATACGAATTGGCGTGTCATACATATGCCATTTCAAATGAATCTCAATGTACTTCGGGGGCAGGGTTAGGGGGGCCCGTACACATTTTTTTGGCATATGGGCCCGGGACTGACTTGCTACGCCACTGGTTTGAAGTTGGTCAATTTGACATCCCAGCACATTTTAGAGAATGGTGATTAGTGTACAATTATGTATGCTCATTATTTATCATAGCCATTTAACAGTGTTGTTGAGTTTGTAAAGATATTGTTAGTAATTAACGAGTTTCAGCACGACCTGCAGCTGCTATCAACCTACAAGTTCAATAAAACAGTCCATACGCTTCGTCATCTATAACTGCAAGTCTTCTGAAGACATAAATTGACTCTGTGTGCTGAACGGCTGTAAATTGAATTCATTACTTACAGAAAATCTTCCTCTCTGATCTGTCAGTACAAATTTCTATTCATTTTATTCAAAAGGACACACAGCGCCATATAAGGAGAAAAGGGAGGAGTCAAAACGGTGCTTAAACCTCATTGGCTCTCGCATGTATGTTGTTGTGTCATATTTTAAGATGTAGGTTCTTTGTGCCAACATGGATGACAGTACAGATACAAAAACGACTTTTGATTTCCCTTTTCAAATGCTGGTGTATTATTTCAGGTCTTCTAATTACCGATTACTTAAACTATATGAAGTGCGACAGAGAGCAAAGGGCACTAAGAGGTTCGACTTTTAACATATACCTATTTTATAATAATGCACACTGACTGATTTATGACTGCAGTTGGTTAGACTGTTTGCTTAACAGTTTGAGCTTTATCAAATATTTAAAAAAAAAATGTTTTCCATATATTACACAATTTACAGCATCTGTGTATGGAGTGGAAAGTCTATAACCATTGGTAATGGAAAACTATATTCTATTTTTATCACACCTGGAGGCGGCTGAAGGCTTTTTGGTTTGACCTAACAAAGATAAATAGAGCAAAAGAAACCACAAGCTGAAGAACATCTTCATGATGTTGATGTTTATCACACTGACCACAGTATCAAACCAGCCTGCAAACACAACGCACCGAGACTCTAACAAGCAAGTCTCTTTATCTTTGTCAAAATACTGTTAAAAAAGTAAACATTTTCTGAAATTACACACCTATATATTTTTTAATAAAAAATAATGAAATCAAACTTCTGTTTTTTTTATTTGAAAGATTGTAGTAAAACACAACTATACAGACTCATCATTTCACTGTTTATCATCTGTTTGCTGTCTGATGATGACTATCCCACATAAATCACAAATGGGGACATTTCATTTAATATTCAACAATATTATTGATCTGCCTGCATTGACACCATTATATGAGAACTGAACTGCATTTTCCAGTTATCTCTGTAAAACTGATTTGGAACAATCTGTATTGTAAAAAGCGCTATATACTGTAAATAAAGCTGACTTGACTTGACAAATACAGAAACAGAAAAAACATCAGAAACTGACATTTCACATTCAGTAATTCTGTTACATCTCTAGCTAGAGCAGGGGTGTCCAATCCTGCTTCTGGAGGCTCACTGTCCTGCAAAGTTTAGCTCCAACCCGGATTAAACACACGCAAACCAGCAAATCAAGCTCTTATATCAGAAACTAGAAACTTCCATGCATGTGCGTTGAGGCGAGTTGGAGCCTAACTCTGCAGGACAGTGGCCCTCCAGGACCACGTTTGGACACCCCTGCTCTAGACTGACAATTATGTTTCTATCTTTATCTGGTTGAATTCAAAAAAGCATACAACTCATACAATTACTGCCGGATATCAGCCAGAGAGATAATGCTGAAAAATCTAAAAAATAAAAGACAAATTTAAAGCTGCCGTCGGCAACATTTTTTT